ATCTCGGTATCCTTTCGATGCCACGAGATCGCCAGCTAATAAACCTCGACTTGGTCCATTAACTGTCTTCTGATATTTGGCTTCTCGGGGATTTTATGGATCTATTTGGTTACGTCCAACCCTCGCCTTCTGATTTATCTGGCACCTGTTTCCTGGTAGCGGTGTTCATAGTTAATCTCAACTCGACGCCACGCTACACATTAACTGATCTTTGTCAATCATTGCCTTTTATTGAACGCCACCCCTTTAGCATCATTTAGCCTGCAATAGATTTGCTTGATTGAGTGAACAAGCTAAAATTAAATCGAAAACTTAAATCCTAGGAATGGCACGTGTATCGACCAACGATCTAGTGTTAGGTTTGGACTGAGAGCTAACGAACAAAAGTTCCTTCGGTCAAACCGAAGTACATTTCTCTGTTGCCATACAAAATCTTTTGGAGTCACCCATATTAAAGTGTATCAAGACAAATCCTGTGCTCAGTATAATCAGTCTGAATTTAAGAAAGAGGACAGATTATATCAAAGATACAAAATACTCCGACTGATGGACCTTCTGCTATACAGTTAGCGATTTCTGTAGCACAACGAAGCGCACAAAACAAGGAGCGGAATGGGTAATGAATAACCGTTAGATACACGGGAATCAATGAGAGTATTCCAATAAGATGGGATCCAATATCTATCTGAAAGGATAGGAGACTCCGTTCCCATCAGGCAGTCAAAAAATAAAATTCATCAACCGAACCAAACCGTTACCTTGAATCTATTCAAACACAAGCTTATTGTCAACAGCCCGGCAACATATAGCAGTAAAACTAAATAGTGAAGGTAAATGTTAACCCAAGTCAAATCGTGAAGGCGTGGTTAGGAAAGAATGAAGAGAACAGAAGCGTGATTAAAAGATTTCTGAGTAGAATTTAAAATATGAAGTGAGAAAATAAATGACAACACTCTCCATGAGATTCAATTTTGTGTGCCCACGCGTAGATATAGAAAGAATCTCTCCATGTCTGTTTTTTCTTATGATCAGTCCCATGTATTTCGGAAGCGTTTGCTTTTTTATTGTTGTCCGTATTTTGTTTCTCGATTTTGAGTTTGATTGCACTTAGTATTGCAATATCTACGATAACTAGAAGTATTCTAATTAGTGCGCTAACAAAGAATTTCTCGAAATGAAGCAGTTTAAGTAGAAGTAGATGAGCACGAATAAGCGGGTAATCCATTACCAAGGAGTCGTTATTTCGTACAAATACCAAAATATCATTCAAAATTCTAAATCTTTACTATTCCCTTGATGTTGATGAGTTTTTTGATGGCACTCTCTATATTAGGGGCCACATTTGGGTGGTACTTTGTGAACTGTTCGTCTCCGTTTCATCAGATTCAAGCACGTCCTCTATTTAATTTTAGAGAGGTTTGTTACTATTAACTATAGTTTGCCTATGTTTGGAGCAAATTGAATTAACCTACCACTTCTCTTTAAACATATTTTTCTTGAACCGATAAAAATATTCTTCTCATTGTGACAACCGGGTTTTGTGAGGTGTCTGCACAAGTTGAATAGAATACCATACAGTACTTCTTCTACACCATTTTGGACGTCTGTTACGTTGATAAAGGGAAGTTATTGGATATTGTCATCTGCTGAGTTATCGAACTCAGGCGTGACTTAAATTCTAACATTTAGACAGACAACGAAGCGTTCCGATCTCTGGATCTAACGCCATCCAATGATCAACTTTGTAGGGACTTTTAGTGTTTCATTTCTAATACAGCAGTAACAGGAAAATGACCTTCATATGATTGAATGGTTGTTACGTATCCAGTCATAAAATGATTGAGAAAAATATATTCGGTCGCAGTTACCGTTGTCAACTATTTAAATAACCTGTGTCCTCATCTTCAAGAGGAAAGAAACAGCCATGCATCTTGTAGATTCCTTTTCATCCTTTGACGACAAACAGTACAGATAAGTCGGCTCCAGCACACCCACACCCGTAATTGCCACTGTTTGGCAGGAGGTTTCATCATTCGTCGGACTATATAGCATATCTCAGTGTGCACACTACAAATATATTGGTCTTCTTTTGGGATACTCAGAAAAATATGCCAAAAATTATCATGTTAAGTCTAATGCTACCCTTGGACTTGAAATAATGTCATTTTCCTATTGGTCAATATTTATTTCACGTGTCATTTTCCTGTTGGCCAAATATTGTACAAATGTTATTTTCTATTTTATGGTACGATGTGGTCTGCTTGATTGGTATATAAACAGAGTATGTTTAGAATACAACGATTCATATCGCAGAGGCTGAGATTGGTGTTCTAGACTTAACTGGCTGGGCTAGGCGGAAAGCAGGGCCAATTAGAACTCTAGGTTGCTCATACGGGTTTACGCGTCATAGTTCCGATATAAAAGTCACTGCTCTCTAGTCGGCGGTCACGAGATATAACATCTTCCCCCGGATATATTCTCTTTTAGGGATTCGATACATAGTCCATACGACAACAGACATTTATGTGAACCTGCAGCGTTCCACAGTTTCAGGGTAGTGTGATTTTATTAGATGTCATCGGATGATAGTTTGGTTAGACTGTAGCATGCAACACTTCCGTTGACATCATTGGGTTTAAGATGTCCTCCCACCCGGACTATTCCCTACACAATCATTCCATTCAGTCCTTCTGTAAGGATTCTGGGATTTATTTTATGATGTTCTCCCTTCTTAAGTGAATCTTTCTTTGTTTCGCAGCTCCTTAACTTTTAATGCCCCATACCTGATTTCATAATGTTTAGGGAACCATACACCATCATATGCGTGACAAATCTCGCCAACCATGCTGTACCTCACATTAGTTGGGACAGTTGATAAATGTCGGCTTTAAAGAAGATCCTCTGGCTATCGTTATGAATCCGTCCAAAAACAGTTCCCTTCAAGGAAGAAAGAAATCGTTTCACACAGGTACGCCTGAAGTGTAGTAACCTAAGACGGCAACTGCCGAAAAACAATATCAAGTAAAACGTAACTCAAAACACTAGTCTGTGGTGACATTGGTTCCTAATAACATGACTCTTCAAGCTAAACTACAATTTACATTAGCCGTCAACGCAGAACCATTCTTGGTCATGCAGCAGACTTATTCTTTACGTATTAAATATATTATAGTATTGCCAACCTAAAATGCAACTATCAGAGGTTTTCAAACCAATATTACTGACCGCTATGATAGGATGATTCAGCATACAAAGCGACGTCAGATCCCATAGATTAGGTGGTCAAATCACAGTAAGTCCACAATACGGAACCAGGTCTATGATTCCTGTAGCATAGATAAGTGCACTAATACCGACCCAAACCTTAATCTCACATCAATTTTAGAATCTGTAGATATTATAATAACATAATTACAAACCTGAGAAAAGTATGGACAGTGTGAGTAGATAAAAACGGGAATAGGAAAAAAAGTAAACTCCTCATCGAATCAAATCTCCGTTCCACATTTTACATTCGGTTCAGACCTTATCATAGCACATATCCCCCCAATCAGTTGACGTCAGGAGACTACAAACTAGCCATCCTATGCTGAAACATCATGAAACTTATTATTCCACATGTGGGATCGTGGATGCGCATTGTTTAGTTTATTTATTCGACCACATAAATATTGATACGAAGAAGCACCGAATAAGTGTGCCACACGAGTCACTTGATTTGTATGGGCTGTGACACTGCCCGGGTGCCCAAACCGAAGCAGGCGGTTTCCTTAGGGGGCCACACCCGGAGTCTTCGACCTAAAGGTTTGATCCACAAGGCAGTGGAGCGACGTTAGGAAATGCAGTCCCATGGTAGTCGGTGACTAACGATTAGTTCGTACGCCATTTGTTCTCTCAGGATACTGGAGCCCACGTTCACAATTGGTTTGAAATCAGGGTTTTCGAACTCCTCCAGGTGGATACTTCGTGCCTACCAACTCGGTTACAGAGCCGGACGTTCGCTTTTCGTCCTCTCAATTTCGTAAAAAACAGTAATGCCGCGAGAAAAAAGTGAACAGGAATCCCCTGGCAGCGGTTGTATGCACGTGGTCATGTGAGAGCATTTCGAGAGGGAGAGCGGACTCTCCCCACCCTCGGTCGTACCACGGCATTTGGGTGTCCATACTAAGATGAAACGGCCGTCCAGTGAGTCCAGGTTTTTAATAGTGGTCTAGCTTAGATCGACTCATTGAATTAACATAAAACCTACAACTATCTATGTAAACAATTAGTGGACCTGTTGTAACATAAAAACGTCTTGAGGAATTTAGCAATTATCATTCGGAAATTCTGACATGGTGTTTTACAAACTTCACGACAGGTTCATCCTTTATCTTAAACACACTATCAAACTGGGAAGCTGCACATCACTCGCTTATAAGGATATTATTAGCTCAATTAAGGGATTTGTTCCATAATAATCAATTTAAACTTGTATGATTTGAGTCACAGAAAGACATTTGTCGTAATCGATGACATGAAATAATAAAAAACAACATCAATAAGAGACTAACAACTGTATAAACTCAACGGGTATTTTATGTATATGTAACTTGATTTTATCAGTTGAGTATGATAAACACATTTGAATTATATATTGTGAATTTTATACTTATTAAAAGAACTTGACAAATCATAAGATCTTTTTATTGTCAGATTGCCTATTGATTTTAGTGTCAAAACAATGCCCATTTAAAAGCGGTAAGAAGATTGATAATCGGAAAAATTATTGTTTTATATTCATATAATTTGATTAAATCCCTTAACTCTGTGTTCAATATGAAAAAAAAGTATTAAAAATAAGATATTGGAAACATAACAATGAAGTCAGTATAGTCTGTTGTAAAACGGTAAATTACATTTCAATATACAAAAAGTAACAATCAGAACCAAAACATAAGTTTAGTTTTTTTTTCTGTTTATAAGATTGCTAACATGTATTCTGATAGATATGAATTTTCTCACAATTTGAACTTACGTAAAACAGGAACTGTGTAATCATTTTCAGTTCTAGAGGTATCAAGGTATAATTTAGGGCAAGTGCATATAACTGCGCTGGAGATCATTCTGTTCTAAAATAAGTATAACAACATACTTTACTAAATTATGATTTAAAATGAGTATAAGTCAATAGAAGTGGTTTATTGAGATAAATATTCATTATTTCGTCACAACATTGTGCACTCAACAAAAGTCCCAAAATATTTTCCTCATGAGATATAAAAATTATAAATCACGAACAACCTAATGCAATCTCAATGTTAAGGACTAATAGTGTTACAGAACTTCTCAAATTACCAACGACCTATTAGATTGACATACAGGCGAACATAGTGAAAAATCTTAGCGATTATAGTAATAAATTTACTTCTGTGAAATGTTACACCGAAGTCCGACTATAAAATCTAAAGTGAGTGAATTCCAATTATACTATATATAATTATATATCAATGGGAATCCACAAATAACAAAAACACCTTCAACATAGCTTTACACAGGCTCAGAACATTTTGCTTAATTTTTATCAGGTAACTAACATCCTTCAACACTCATACAACAAGTTAAGCTGAACATTTATCATATTTTAGTTAATTTATTTAGAATAACTCATTTATGAAATACATATTTTATTTACTCAGTTCAAAGCCATATACATTTAGCTGTTGGGGGGTTAGGGATTGGAAAATGAAACTGAACGGCTGGAAACTCACTGCTTCAACAATTAATTCATCAATCTATACAATTGACTGAGTAACAGCGGTGTCAATGTTTAGGGTACGGGAGAAGTGAGATGATGCAGTTGAGAAATGTTATAAGAACCATAATAAACATTGTATGATAGAAGTGATATATTGAACATTAAAACGCAAGACAAAATTCTTTATTTCGAGATGCAAAATTACAATTTAGGGTAGTATCACAATATAAGATCAGAAACTTTTCATATCTGAAGTCACGATGTAGTTTTCGATAAAGTTGAGTTTTATAAATTTGTGGAACAATCATAAAGGTTAGTTCTACATAAATTAGACCCTAATCATTTTATCTGGAACGATAAACAAAATTCTACAATTAAATTATACAACTTAGAGAACGCAATATAACTAAAAGTATCCACCTGTGCTATGAATCCTCTCTATTATTTCAATATAGAATAGTATTAGAAATTGTAAGAACGAAAATACCAAGCTGGCCACAAAGTGATGCGACGTACACATCTAAAGTGTACAACGAAAGACATTAATTACAAGATTTTTGAGAGGACTACATCAAACGGAATATGAACGAATGTTTATGCCTAACATATATGAAAAAGTGGTCATGTGAGTAGTTAAATAATAGAGTTTTGGTATTCTCTTACTTTCAGAACTTAATTTTCATGTTGTAATTTCTATCCCAGGCAACATCAACGCACTATAAAACAGTTGAGACTTACTATTTCACCGGTGATTAGTTAGCCATTTATTTTAACTACTTCATACAACATGTGATCAGCCAGCTATCTACTTCGTAACGTCCTTACATCACCTAACAAGTGTACAGCCAATTTTGTTTATTGAATAAATCATATATATTATTGAGATAATGGAAGTTAAAGAGTGGTGACCAAAAACATATCCAAGTAGATTGGAGATAGAAGTAGAGTTAAAATATTACTCATTTAAAAGAGGAAATACACATATAGGTTAGTTATCAAGTGACAAGAATCAGAATAATTTAGAATAAAGACTGGAAGAGCTTATCGCAAGTACAATAACTAGGACTCAGTTGGACAACAGAACAAGCAATATAAACTGATTCATTTCGAAATTCATAATGAGGAATTTCGCATATCAATGCAATGAATACATCATGATTATGCGGTCTAGTTAAGTAAAAGCAACATCAGCGACAATAACATCATTTCGAGAAAAAGACGATAGTTTATGATTAAATATTTTACGGAGAAAACACTAGTATAAAAGTCTTACTTGATTATAGTCAATTAATTTACGATAATGACCGGAATATTTTCTGCATACAGAAACAGGGCATATAAGAGAAGATGAATGATATTTGACAAGGGCAGAAAATATCACAGATATTACTATCGTAACCACAGTCAAAACAAAATAGGCAATAATCAGTGGGCGTAGTTCTACAGAAGACCATCGTAGTGAATAAAAAGCAAACACATTGATAGATGCCATACAAACTCCAGATAAACTAAATCGGGTTGATTGAAGAAACCATTTCAAATGATAAATATATTGATAATTCTTTTTGTCGCTGTAATAAACACCAAATAAAATTACATAAAACCATTTCAGTATTCAAGTAATCTAAGACTATTTTTGTAACAACCAATAATATAAGTAACTGAATTTTATAAATTGATGAATGTAATCATACTTTGTGAATAGGAAACGTATTAAAAGCACATTTGAGAAAGTTTTGTACTACATGAGATACATAAATACTGCGTATCTTCGAAATTCAGAAAAAAACTCATTTGTAATTGACATTCATTTTGTTTCAAGTTGTATTCAGAAATAATACTACTAAAACCGGATTATTTACATAAACTGGTCGCCGGGTGACAAATAAACCCAAGCTGGTTAGCCTGCAGCAGTGATCAGTGTATATTTGGCATTAAAACTACACTAAACTATATCGTGATTTTTGGTAAAAATTAATAGTGATCAGTACTAATACACAACCAGAAATTAACGTTAACTGTCCCAAAACTGCAATTATACAAGTGACTGTCAAGCATAAGGATGTGAGACAATAAACTAAGGATAAACAATACTAAGATTCATCGTTAACGTACGAAGTTCTACGTTGTTACTGACTGACTGATAATATAATGAATGTCGTCAGTACGATATAAGCTTTGATAAAAGAACAGATCAGCGAAACACAAAGAATTAGCTATGTCCGAAAACACTTACTGTTTCTCATAAGTAAGAACATAGATACTATTTATGTACGAATAAAACTACAGTTTAAAGTATTCACTTTGTATTTTGCTCTGAAACCTTAGAAACCCAAAATCCAGTGAAAAAAGACACCACATATAACTTGTGGTTGGAGAAAATATTCATAATTTAAAACAGAGACTGATGCGTCTCAGTATAATTCTGGACATCCAGATTGTTACTTTAAACTATAAACAGGAATTAAGCAGATGAAATATACGCTTTAAACTGACATTATAAATAAGTACTTTACGCAACCAAGTATAATGCAACATATTTTTCGGTAGCCGTGATATTTGAATAATAGTAAGCAATAATGTTGCGGTTTATTTTGTATCAACAAGTTTAGACAACCAGATATCTAGTGTCTTAGTTTTGATTCCTCAGTCTCTATTCACTTTTATGATAATTAAATAATCAAGAAGGCTCGATTGAACATGCCAGCTTGAGTTACTTATGGTGTGGATACAACATTTATCTACCAATCAAGGGATGAGTTTACTACACATCAGGTGGATCCATTCTACTTTATGGCTGTAAAAGATGAGCATTAAGATTAGAAGACATTCATCAATATCGTGAGATAACCGAGTGAGAAATGTCGAAGTAAGGCATAAGGTATGGACTTCTTTTCGACTGATGTGGTTGGGATATGTAGTCTATGCCCAAGCATAGAATACCTCAACTGGCGATGATGTATAGTGTAGGAGTTGGTTGGAAGAAAGTTAGGGGAGGTCAAATAAAGCACCGAATCATGAAGTTATAAACAAGCAGACTGACCCATGATAATGGATGAAGACTACTTGGATGGAGTCCGCATGATAACTGTAACAAATGGTTAGCAAATTTGTGTGGCATGGCTCAGAGTTGTTCGCAATGGCGCAGGCACTTACACTCGCAATCTTTTTTCAGAATCTGAGTCCCGGAATCTCAATATACCTTTTTTCCCTTTTTTACGTCTAATTTTTCCTACTACCACTACTACTACTGATACTGTTATTACTCTTTCTCTAAACAATTACATCCCCCTGAGCTAATGTGGTAATACATCTTGGACCGATATACACTAGACAAAGTACTAGCATTTACAAGGCGACGCGCATATAATCCTTAATGATACACTGATCTATCTTATTTTACATTATAACCGACAAACAAACCAATCAATTTTAATGAATACTGAGGAAACTAACGTTTCGGTCCAACCACGTATATCTGATTGCAACGGCTCATGAATCCATACAAGCATAAACTTATCGATAAGAAATTTAAATAGAAAATACAACAGACCAAAGACGTAGATGATTGGACAAACTGGTGTGTAAGCAATAATAATTGTATGAACAACTGACAGAAATGCATAGTTTTCTCCAAATGCGAATGTTTCCGGTTGAGGCTAATTCGTGTGGTAGAGGGAGAAAGAGAGAGAGAGAGAGAGAAAGAAGTATTATTATCGAATATTCATAAGGACTACAGTGCTAGAGTCTACGAGACACCAAAATTTAGCGTTTAACACTAATGGTGTGAGATTGATGGAGAAAATATTGATTTTCGACGTTTTAAGTATAAGCCTAAAATTTGGTTCATTTAATTCGCCTTGAATAACCAGATAAATATAGATGATCGACAATAAAATAATCCATTAAATACTAAATAAACTGAGAAAAATGATTAAAACAATCATAAAAATGAAACAGCATTCAATAGATCGCAGCAATAAGACAATTGAATAGAGCGAGTTGAAGTCACACGACACACACATGACTAAATAGTGAATCGATACAAAAAGACTCAAAAAAGACAAAACTCAACTAATGACCACTCGAAGAATGATATTTTAGGTATGTCGTATTTAGAGTTGTTCAAAGTCAGAATCTTCAACATCAATGTTTGGAGCAGAAACTTGGAGAACTACAACCATCACCAAAAAAGTACAAGTATTTATAAACAATCGTCTAAGCAAGATAATGTCCGTTAGTCGGATACCATCAGCAACTACCTACTGTGGGGGAGAACAAACCAACTTCCAGCTCAAGAGGAAATTAGGAAAAGACATTGAGCGTGGATAGGACATACATTAAGGAAAGCCCCAAACTATATCACGAAGCAAGCACTAACTTGGAATCCAGAAGGGAAACAGAGAAGAGGAAGGCCAAAGAACACACTACATCGGAAAAAGAAGCAGATATGAAGAGGATGAATAACAGCTGGAAAGAACTGCCAAGGACAGGGTTGGATGGAGAATGCTGGTGGGCGGCTTATGCTCCTCCACAAGGGGTCGGTCACAGGCGCAAGTAGTTGTTCAATAAGTGAATTTTTCATGATATTGTATTCACGAACAAGTGTAATTAATCATACTAGTCAAGATTTAAGCAGATTTTTCTCCAGCCTAGTTGAAAAACGCAGATCACATCACGAAATGCATCTCAAAAGTGTTATCACGTTACTTTCATGTATAAGAACGGAGAAAAATATCAAGATAGCTTCCCGTTGCTGTAATATGTTAGTCTGAGACATTATTATTAATGTTGAATACTGTTCGCAATTTATTAAACTATTCACAAACAAGTAACAATTTTTATTTAGTTTCTACACATGTCTTGTATTTGTTCCAATAAAGCTATTTCAATACGCAAGACACCTTTAAATTCAAATGTCTTACAACTTTATTCTCATTGACAATTACATTGATGACCAATCATAACAGCTTCAATTGTTCAAATCATGAAGAAAATTAGACTTAATTTCTTTGTTCACTTTTGTTAAGGTTGCTTTGTTAGTTAGTTACAAGCAACGTAGAACCTGCACATATGAGCACTGTATGTTACACTACATTTGAATAAGAAAACGAAATTATCCAGACAAACATCAGAGAAGTAGAAGTAGTTACAATGTTGATGATGTTATGAAAGATTAGGGATAAACAATAAAATTCAAGAAAAAAGATTAAATCTGGGGAATAAAAAGTGAGTGTATTCTAGGACAAAGAGTGAATATAGATCTGGCTAACTGAGACCAATTTTGAACCATGTCAATCAATATCGCCAATCAACGTTGAGATATTCGTGCCGACACCGACGAAAATGGTCTGCAGCTACTTATACAACTCAGTTCAGATATTTTGTATTTGCAGAAATTAATCAACAACTTAATAGTAATTAACTACAGTAACTAGACACCTACTATAAATCACTTCACGATGGTACCTTTTGGTATATTGCATAGAGATTCGAATGAATTAACGTGTTCAGACAAAAATATTCACAACCAGTTCTGGTGAAAATCCTCAACTGATGTAATTTTAATGTTCAGAAGTTTTTCCAATAAATACTTTATAATCAGAATGGGTTTTGTGGAGATTTTACAAATTTCACAGATTGAAATCATGAGTCAGTTGAAGCTAGACCACCATTGAAAACCAGGAAGCACTGGACGGCCGTCTCGTCCTAGTATGGGACTCCTCAGCAGTGCGCATCCACGATCCCGCACCACGCGGGGGCGGGATCGTGGGTGCGCACTGCTGAGGAGTCCCATACTTGGACGAGACGTCCAGTGCTTCCAGGTTTTCAATGGTGGTCTAGCTTCAACTGACTCATGATTTCAATCTGTGAAATACTTTATACTCATTAAAATCAAGCTGATGGTAGCAAGTTTCTGTGGTTTTTATTATCTTGAATGTTGTTTTGATAGAGAATAAGGTTTCATTTTATGTTAAACAATAATATCTAACTCGATTTGCTAATAATGAAGTTTGTATGGTGATTGACAAGAAAAGGATTTTATGGGAACAGTGGCAGTAAATTACTGTGATCAAAGTCATATATAAAAAACCAATTACTTCAGAGAAAACTTTTCTTTCTGCCACAGTATGAGCGTAAAAGTGTCTTCTAACCAAACTTTGAAAAATATGACCCAAACGTAGAATTCGTAGACCTGTTCCAAGTAGTGCACATGTTACTACATAATTGATGAACAATGCACCACTGTCTGGTAAAAATATACATTCTGTTCGAAATGGTACATAAAAAGCAAATGGATTTGAATGATTCACTTTAGTTGTTATAAGTTGATGTAACAGAGCTGGAAAACTGGAAAACAAAACACAGTACATGAGAAATATCAACCAATCATATTTAACATAAATGAATTTGTCATTAGTAAGATATTTGTGAAAAATGTACGAGTCCAGAATACATCTAGTAAATGATCATATAAACAATATCATCATACATAAGCACTCAAGAATACACATCTATACATGTAGTATGCACTAGGCAGTGTCTAGACATGCAGGATTTTCATTAACTTAATATTAGATTATGTCTAAACATAATTTCAGTGGAAATTGTCTACGAAAATTTCAGATGACTAGGTCGATATGTGTGTAATAATAAATGTATTGGATTGTTTTTCATATAAAACCACCCAGGTAGATGTTATCATCCATCACGCATAAAGTCATTAGAATTAAAAATTTGGAAGATCTAATCCACGTATGGGAAAAAATATAATTAATCTGACGATATCAAATAATTTTAGACATCCAACCATTAATATCTCAGAAGAAATGATTACACTATTTATCAACACTATGGAAGTAACATAAAGATCCAGAGAAAGGCGAGTTATCCAACAGAAAGTCGTTAAATAAACAAAGTCATTAGCAATAATATATACAGATATCCAAATTTATTTCATACATTCCAGTAACTTTAACATCACGTAACAAATAGGTCCATTATAGAAGAGGAGTTAGAAAAAATCGTTTGGTTTATTATATAATCTCATAAAATTATTTAGATATATCTGACAATTTAATGTGAATTGACTTATAAAGTATTTCTAATTAATTGAAAAGAATAATACAGTTGAACCTTTTCAAAAACAGTAAAATCCATCACTATCGGTAACAATAGAGCATTTATTTTATTCGGCTTACCCTTAATGACAAAATAAACTGAGAATTGACAAAATGCTTACTACGTACAATATATCAAATTATGATTTCTCACCATTTACTTACTGAATATCGAAGGTCACTTATCATTTTTAACTACTATTCCAAAAATTCTCAAACTAATTTATACAACTCATCATTTAGTGTCTAAATTTCACCAAGATTAAACATTATAAGAACACTTAAAAGATTAACATACCCTGTTATTCCAAGAGAAGGTAATAATAACACTGTAATAAGTAAGAAGCAATAAGCATTTCGGTAGATAACACTTTCTAAACCTCCACGCGTCTTATGTCTCGTCCAATATTCACTAATGATTACTAGACGTGTTAGAAGTAATGAGACACCTGCTAAAATTGCTGCCGGGACCCATTTAAAAACAAATGGACGCTGAAAGAAATTGTTTAGATAGTTTAACATAGTATTAATTATTTAATAAACAATGAATAAGAAATATTTTCGATTGAATTATTTCCTTAAACAATTAAAACTACTAGTCATACAACTAACTTACAATGACGGAACTTTTTTCAACAAGCAGCACCATCTGAGCATTAACGTAGTACGAGTGAGCACAGTAATGGATGTCCATTTCAAACCGATTTAAAGATTTTCAAACGTATAGGCTATTGATTCGTACTGTAATTGGACCTATAAATCCTAAATCACGAGGAGGGCATACCACAATCAAGTTACAAAATAAAATGACTAAAAATGAATGATTCCAACCGAATAGTTTAATGGAAGTAAGAAATTCTCAAGAAGCATAAATATAATGGATCTAAGACTCAATGAAGTCAAAAATACACATATCACTGACACATTTTAGTTGATGATATTTTATGATGAACATTATTATCAGATTTTGTTGACCTATCATAAAACGTTTTATAGAAAATTTTAGTAATCCACACAATTTCCAGTTTACTCCTAATAAAACTGGCACTTCAAATGAATATGCAGTGCTTCGAACGTGCCGATTGATTACTTTTCAACTAGAAAAGTCTTGAAACAATTTTCGAAGTTTGATATGTAAAATCTTTTTGCAATCAGTAAAAAGTCATTGTAGTCTAGATACTTACTGATTTGTAAAAAATGCTGTGATGTCATGAAGATTTCATCCTTCTGTTATCTAAAGTAAATGGTACAGAAATCTTGTATTTCGGTTTCTCAGCATAAGTGTTTGCTTTGACACATTTTTTCACAGAAACCCTAAACACATCGATCACACATCTGAGATACTGATGTTAGTTAAAACAAACGAACATCAGTAAAAAGACACATGTACAAGGAATTTGGTAGTTAATGCAGAAGTTAGAACGTGATAAATTGCCAATCCAAACACAACAAGGTTAATTAATAAAAACGTTTGGCTATGACAAATTCAGACAGACGATTTCACTTGGATAATTAGAAATGAATGCAAATACGTAAATAGGAATAAATATAATTAAACCATATATATATATATATATATATATATATATATATATATATATATCGAGTACGTACCGAAATTCTACCCAACCAGTCGAATAATCCAGTAAGATTTACAATAGTAAGTATATAAACAGGTGATGTTAAGACGAATGCCAACAAAACAACAGCTACACGAATCCAAACTACACGTAACCACCATTCACATCCATGATATGTTGTGGAAGTTATATTCAGCCTGTGGATAGTTACATAAGTCTATAGCTTTATTGAATTAGGGATTTTAAAAAATGCTATATATTGTATACACTTTGCAAAGGTACTGACCAAGTGTTTTAAAAATTTCATAGAATATGAATGAGTGTAAAATTTATTTGAAATAATGAAATGAATATCACTGGTAAGTATTAAGCTTGTATTAATCGGTATAATAGCTGTCAGATAATCTCATCCTAGGACACCTCGACTATATGTGTTCATGCTTCAAATTGACACCGAGCAACAGGATTTACAAACCAAATAATAAATATGTTCTCATCTGAAATAATGAATCGCTTTACAATGATCAATATCAATGGCTTCAAACAAAGCTTGAAACTCTAATGTGAATGAATTTTGTGGTATTAACTAAATGCTTTACATTGCAAGTATTACAGTGTATTACAGTAAAATGAATATTTCTTATTAGGAGTTAGATAAGCTATGATATACCCTCATCATCAATGAAATAATTGAGAAACAACCTGTGCCTATAGTAATGTGAATGATTAGTGTTAAATGTTAAATATTTTTCAAAATTAAGATGTACTCTTGAGTAAAAACAGGAGCAAAATATCTGACCGTGAGTAGATTAACTAGTAGCTCCTATTACACTGATTATCATTTAGATTAATATCATCAATAAATATCTAACCAGTTATACTGTCAACGTAATTTATGTTGATCAAAAGAATAACAGGTAAGAAGTCAACTTTAAAAAATATTAAACCAAATCATCTTGAATAATATATTTCTGAAAAAAAAACTTGGTTTGGACTAGCTTCCACAGACCTCTCTATCTTTCTATATAATACGTAAATATCGTAAGAGAAATAAAATAAAATTTAATTCATACCACAACAAATCTGATGATGGGGGAGCTAAATAAGCATGATTGAATAGATTAGATCGATTTGGTTTCTTGATATAGTATAAACTACGCCAAGGACGATGCTGTTTACAATAGTTTTGTATATGTATAGTATTGTTGATTGGAAATATTTGAAGCGGACAAGTTGTGTATGAAGACAGAAATCTAGAGGAATGAGAAATAAAAAACAAATAAGAAGTTAGAGAACAAGATTAAAAAAACATATTATCCTAAATATGATGCACTAACTTGCCATTTAAAGTAATTGACTATATTCACAACCTTTCATAAATCATTAAATTATTTAATTACATTTCCCTAGCTATGAAACACTACTTGTAAGAGATCCGATTACAAGATTACAGTGAAACTATACACTTGAATATCAAGAGAGAATTATATCTTGTCAGTTTGGAAATCATTGTCTTCAAACGATTGATCAATTATTTATAGTCGGTTTTGCATAATCCCAGGAGTTCAAAACTGACCAACCAAGTTATGTACTTATATATTAATACAAAAGTATCATGATTTCGAATATTATTGTACATAAAAATAGATAGATTGAGCAATAAGGTATTTGTAATTGTGACGCTTTACAGCAAGAACAAACAGAATGGATCAATAAAAACATCAAAATATTCAAAATCATGAATGAATGTAGATCAACTAGCCATGAAGTTATAAAATATTTAGGACTTGGAGAATGACAGAAGGTTAATCAGTCTAAAGAAAGCCTACAGAATTTCGTTTATAATATTCAGAGGCTTCAAATGCTGATTGTAAACACTTTGCAGAACTTAGGAAATAAGCTTACACTCTTTAGGATACTCACTGTCATCGACTTTTGACAGTTATGTTTATTCTGATCGCGTCCAGGTTTTTTTTTCAACCTACTTATCATCTTGGCTAGCATTACCCATAAGCTAGCACCTAACAATAATAACGCTGACTAATTAATAAATCCATAATTCACGAGAATGACTGAATGATTTAATTCATTTTGAATGGATAAGAAAATAAAGTATTTTGATTTGGTTATTTATTCTCTGAAGAAGTGGTTTACACTGAGTCACGAAACGCCAGAAAATCTAATTTTTCCAATCATTACAAATATATTATTTATTTATAAAAATCTAGCCAATGCTCAATTTATTCGAAATTACCAAGTCAACCCTTGGTAACGATACCTACACATAGAAGTTCGTTTATGGAACTATATAATGCACTTTTTATAGGGATGGACAATTCTGTTGTAGTGAACAAGAACACGGGTGGGGACAATCGATTGTATTTAGCACAAAGATTACAGACTATCTCAATAAAATGTGAATACCATAAAGTCAATCGTCAATTTGCAAAATATCATTCCATCATATGAAACTGTACTGTTCCCGTTGCAAACACTAATCCATTGTCTCCCATTCCATTGTACGTGCGTTTTCTTACAATTCCATTGTGCTCTTGCTCTTCCTTTCTTGATCTTCGCCATCTTCTGCTGCCGGACATTACGTTCTTTTAGCGCACGTTATATACTACTTATATGAATATAAGTAGCTCACACCACACTGTCAAAATGTAGGATGATTGTAAATCAGTCTTTTCGCTAAACACGCAATCAAAAACGGTTGTAAGCACCACTACCACGGTTTGACTTGATAATTTCAAATACATTGGACATTGAGTAAAATGTTTGTATTAATGGGATGATAATATAATTTTAATATTTTAACGAGGTGAAAATTGTGTCTCTGATATTTCGTGATTCAATATGTAAGTCGTTTCTCCAAAGAATAAATAAAAAGATCAAATGTGTTTATTTGGAAAAATCGTTCAAGTTTAGTGGACACTTAAACATCCGTTTCTATTGAACACAATAGAGCTTAGGAATTTATGGAAAGCTTCAATCATTAGTATTTTTTATAGTTGGAAAAACGTTTTTGAGTAATTTTTATATTATTATTAATGGTTTCTATTGTGCAAATCTAACACCATCAACATATATACAAATTAGCTCCACCATTTTACATTGTTTTCCACACCAACTGAGATATGCACAAATACACACAAAGACTGTCTTGCCTTTAACTTGAGTAACATGATGTAAGCCTGATCAAACTTGTTTTGATTTGCTTTATTTATTTATCCTCTGAAGAAACAACCAAAAATAAGCCGAGAGACGTCACAAAGTCCATCTTCAACTCGCTGGTATATTTTAAATATTATACTAAATTATTATAAAAGCATTTTAGTGTATTATGCTTACAAGTTACGTTATTAATTTGTAAACAAAAGGTGACAAATAGGTTAGAGATGTCTATATAGGATATTTGAAAAGTAGAGTATAAACATTTTTAGAAAATCTTAAAGATTAGTTTTATCTAGAAGTTAAAAAAGTATGGTTATTAAAGCATGACGGATAAATGTACATATTTCATATAATAACATTACACTTTCTAGACTATCTGAACCTTTTATTTCATTAAAATCATGCACTAATCAACGTTAAACTACCATTTAAATCCTGGAAGCACTGGACGACCGTTTCGTCACAGTATTCGACATCTTAGAAGAGCCCATTCAAGATCCCATATGCGGGACACGAAACTCAGGACTACTGATCTCCCGAGAGAACGCTTAACCTCTAGACCACTGAGTTTGCATCCAACGGTGTTAATGTCCACGTTTAATCAATCCACGATATTGCGCAACCAGCTTCCACACCCCATAGTGAAAATTATCATACCCTCACTAGTGACTAGCTTCGAGGTAATTCTCAGAGTTTCAGAAGCCGTGACCAGTGCAGCTAATCCGTCTCCGGTGTGAGGCGGTCGCCCACCGGTGATGGTCGCGGAATGGTCGAAGTTAGACATTACCAATGTTGGGTCTCGGCTTAGTGGTCAAGAGATTAAGCGTTCGCGAACGAAAGTGAAGATCCCAGAGGCGAAAACTCCGCGCTCGAAATTCTGTAAGACAACTTCAACCTACCCGCAGTTACCACGCAAGGAAAAGTACAACAACGAATCGATCCACGTTCCAGAGGGTGATCACTTTGACAACGACGACAAATGATTAAGATGCGGGTGGACTTCAAGAACGTATGCTATTAAAAGGAGTGTTAGGGATGCGAGATCCTCGGAGATCACTTGATATGTCTTATTTTTGTAATTTTAATTTGGAAATTCGAATTTCTCTTTTTCGCGCCAAAGGCATCCACTTTTATCTTCAGATCGTATTTCCCGTTTGGAAGTACCTTAAATGTCTTTGCTTCGTTGCCTCTTTTAATAAGCTATTTTGTGACGTTTCTGAAGGATTTTTTATGATGCATATATATGCTTAAGTTGTTTGCTTGATTTGTTCGTGTTTCTGACTGCTCATGTAATATATCTACTCCTGATCTGAATCTGGTCTTATCCCTCTAGTTAGCAGGGCTAGGGTGCATCGGAATAGTTTAACTGTCTGGTCGTGTTGCTGAACCTTCGTTCCCTTCGCTGATTTAAGATGATCTCGTAATCTCTACAAACATAGCAGACATGGAATTATCCGATTTCTTCAGGAGTTATCACTTGTCTACAACGTATCATCTATCAATCAGTAGTCTTATTTTATTTTAACAACTAAAAATTCATTCATAAAATTATTATGGTCAAAAATGTATAGCAGCTTGAATGGACGAGCTTTTATTTTAAAGATAAGGATAAAATCAAATAAGAAAATCGCCTACTCATCACATAAACTAAAGATTATAGAAACATTGACAAAATGGGTTTACCGACCTTAGAACTTGTCCTGAATTTTCTAGACCGATAAAAACAATTCCTGTATGCGGTATATCGAGTAAATCAGTAAGATTCTTTCCTGGATTTTCTTTCATCAAAAGTTCAATGTTCGATAGGCCACTGATTGCATAAATAGTGTTGATTTGTGTTGCAAGCACATCTAATTGTTCATTATACACTACAATTGCATTGGCGTCTGATTTACTCTTAGCAAGTGTTCGACAAATAGTACCGAAATTATGATAGGTTGGTTGCTCGCCAGTTATTTCTAATTGTTCAACTGAAGCGCGTAGATAAATCTCTGTTTCAGCTCTACAAGCAAACAGTTTTACCAATGTAATGAAAACATATACATGCATATAATACTTGAATGTATTTAATAAGTCATTTGAGTGGTGAAAGGAATCATACATGCTTTACATATTGATGCAACTTTGCTTCATATACGACATAAAGTACAACTCAAAAAGCGAACCACCCTCTGAATATCTTAGCTATGTTTAACAGAATTTATAACTGACTATTTGTATATTTGACCATTTAAATTTCGTAGATGTTTTTAACAAGTATATATGTGATCAGACTGTTCGAAATGTATTACATAGTTCTGATAATCTCCGTCTTATTATACAATCCAAATTTATCAAAATGACTGATTACTTTAGAATTCATCTTAATATTACTTCGACTACCATCTCTCTTAAGAGGTTATATCATTCACAAAAAGTTGCATTTTTAAACGTACTGGATAATACCCATTTAGTAAAAAATGTATAACATTAAAATATCTAGACTAACCGATTAAGTGTTGATAACAGAAAGAATTATATGATGTACAATGCGATTGATAAATAAACTTTCCTCTATTTACTATGTTTAATGAACTCACTTTGCTTGCTCAAGTTCTGTCAAATTTCGAACTAAATAAACTGGTTCAATCCATTTTACCTTCAATTCTGGATGATTAATTCTACAATAAATGAGTTTTATACGAAAGTACCATTTAAATTACAAGGATAATAATTCTTTTTTCAAAACTTCTATTTACCGATGAGTATTGATTAACTGGAACTAGAATAAGGCTAATAATTTCTATTTACATTCTGAAGAAAGATGCTTTCTGAAGGCGTTCTTATGATTTAACATCAGCTAGGAAACTGTCCTGTCAATCAGTTGTAAATAACGTAAAATTTAGCATACATGCATGTTAGTTTAGGTGGCTACTCCATATCAGCACAATTAAATGAAATTATTAAGGCAAATGTCACAGTAGTGGAAGTAGTAACAGTATCAATGGTAGAGAATGTTATAACTTATGGCCTTGTGCCCCATTGATGTATAACTTAATGATACTGCCAATTAAAGAACAGTGAATTATCGACCGGATCAATGACGCATGAAACCCGTACGAGCAGTCTAGATTCCTTATTGGTCCTGCTTTCTGTCTAGCCCCGCCTGTTAAGTCTAGAACACCAATCTCAGACTCTGCGATATGAAACATGTATTTCAAACATACTGGGTTTATATACAAACCAAAAAGACCACTTCGTACCATAAAATAGAAAATAAAATTTGTAAAAGAGTTAATCAAAAGTAACTGTGAATGTGGGAGATAGTAATTGATAGACTGAGCATAACTCAAAAATGGTAAATCGAATAATAATAATACGAGGAACACGAATGTGAATAGTTTAGTTACTTAACAATTATACAATAAAAATACATGTGTATAATATTTGTCCAGAAATAGTTCCCAACAGTTACCAATCATTATTTTCACCTGGATATAACAGAAAACCACTAAAATAGAGTAATGAACAGCTGTAAAATTGTAGTTCAGGAGTTTAGACCAATGAACAACGGTTCTGTACATGAGCGAGATGAGGATTGCCAGACTTTTAATTCTAATGGTAATCCATAGCGTGCATGAGTCAATAACATCAAAAATAAGACGGTACCAAACTATCGTTATTGGTTGAGGACATCGATCAATTATAAAGACCAAGTATGTATGCCGAAATTACTAGTTGCGAGTGTCAACTTTTTATTAATTAAAATTTCGAAATGTACAGTGTTAATAAAAAGTGCATAAACCTGTGCGCGCAAAAGAAATACTTCATCTACCGTCTAAGTTCAGAACCTGATTAAATAGTGACAAACATACTAATTAGTAACATATCTGTTAATCTAAACTTTGTGCAATAAGGAGTAACGGTAACTGAAAGCATCTTCAATATGATTTTAGAAAGAATAAGGAAATAATCATAAAAATTATAGTGTGAATGACAATGTTAAAAAGAACTAAAAACACCTTATCATGTGAACTTCATAATATAAAATGCAGATCAGGAACTTGATTTTAAGCGTGACCAAATTACCTTAGCTTTATTACTTCATTACACTGGTTATTCGTTAAAATTAGTGAACACAAATGATGTGAAATAAATAATTTCACCACATAAGATGTAATAGCTATTGCTCATGCAAAAGAATCATGCGAACAGTACAGAATCTATTCAATTACGATTCTTCGTTAGTTACAAGTTGTTTAGACTTTGGGTGTATATTCTTCTCAATGAATCACAGTAGTGTGATTACATTGTTGTATAGTGAAAAGTTTGTATATGCGTAACAGTGGTGGTAGTAAGTAGTAGCCCATTGTCATGGAAGATTTGCTGAAGTTTTAGTCAACCGTTAAAGACATGAACTTATATATATATATATATATAAGCAGAACACTATGATTATTATCTAAACGATGATAGCTATCGTAGAATGCTTTGGTCATTACGATTATCAGTATTATTACCATTAGTAGTAGTATTATTAACATCATCATTATACACAGAAATAACATGAATAAAACAGATTATAATACAGTTAAATAAACCAATTAATCATGTATTGATCTAAACTAGTCACGACAAAATATTTAGAAAAAGCACATATATAAGCGTACATTTAAAGTAATTAAAGAAAGAATAAAGTATCTGATACGACATTCATTTCCACACCATGAGAAGCATATAATGCTGTATACCATTTTTAAGACCTTGAACAATGTTAAATCCAATGTAACGGATAATATTATTTCTTTTTTAAGTAGTTATATGCGATAAGAAATTAAATGTTGCAAGAATAATTTTGCAGAATAAAGCCGACTATATATGGTAATGGTTATTCTTGAAGATACTAAACTTATTTACAAGAAACAATGCTTGAATATTTCATGCTATAAACTTTGGGCTATCGTCTTTTAAATTAACCAATAGTGTTTATATTAGTAGTGCACATCAAGTAATCGAAAACATTTAAAACTATACATATTCTTCGCAGTAGAATGAAACTCAAAAACGAAAACAGTATAAAAACTTACTTGAAGAATTCTGTTATTCTTTTTACAAATGATTTGACTGTAGTGCTAGTTGGGACACCTGTTAGCATGAGTACATTTGGTATCTGATACAAAAAGGAAATTATATAAGAATGATACTTAATAGCGATCTGTGTGAAAAATACACAGAATGTCAATGGTGATAAAATATTGCCGTTAAAAACTAGTTGGAAAAACGACTGTAAACAACTCCATGTTTTTTTAATAAAGAGGGAGAAAGAACAAAACTCACAAAAGATTAGTTGGACCGTGGATATATGGTTAATGAAACGTGTACCACAATTATGAAACCAAATTGCTTGGAATACATGAAATTTAATTAGTTTTATTCTATTAGTTTCTTTTGTAGATTTGACTAAAGTCAAAACAATGATCGGGGCAGATTAATATTAATTCACTATATTTCGTGGCTTCCCATCCCGTGTTCAAATCGCTAAATCACTTTACACCTATTCCTACACAGATAATCCTTGTACTCCTAATTCTTTCCGGTATCAATGTCAATTGTTCCACATTGTATCATACCTCAGAGTTACATCCTAATATATATATATATATATATATATATATATATATATATATATATATATATATATATATATATATAATGAATTCATGTTATCCTGCCCAAATCCTTGTCTTAGCTTTAAACAAATTTAATTAATATGAGAGTCCGGGATGTAATTTTTATCGTATTTGAGATTAATCAGCTGAATGTCCCTATACCAAACGCATTTACATAGAAAAAGAACGATCAAAATTCAGTCTTGAATATTAATGACAGGATTGTAGTGCTATGCAAGCTAATATGGCTTATCCTAGCTTTCGAACAGGCCGATTTATTCATTCATCTCGAGTCACATTTTGACCTTCTTGATTATTCGTTTGTCAACCTTGACTGTTTTTATGTAGGCATATGTATGCGCACACCCGATCTTACTCATCACATGTCTGTAGCTTATTTTTGTTTGACTATAAATATCAAGTCACGCTTGATTAAAACGAGTTGGTTCAAATGTTCTCTCCAACGTGCGTCATTTCGCTTCGTTTCTCCGACAGATTGTTAGTTCAAATCAACGATTGCATGAAATATACACATTGAAACTTCATCCTCGTATTCGGCTTATTTAATTCCGTTATTCACTAGCGCGAGCTAAGTCGATAACAATATACGAAAATTGAAAATATGTATATTTCGATAACAGTCAACAAACGATCAAATTGGAGTCAGATATAGGGCCACTGAAGGATAACTGAAACCCTTAATAATAATAAATGTAAAAATACTACATAGGGAAACAGGAGCTGTATTATTACTCCAACCGAAGATAATGCAAATAAAAACGCGTACTATTTGCAAAACTTTAAAGTTTCCTCGAGAATCACTTGATGAGGGTGAGAAATTCGCAGTACCGAATTCAGCTGAAAGCGTGTTGCTTAAAATTTCAAAATGAGAATTTGAAAAAAATTTTTTTGAGTGCTTCAGATATAGTTCTTATGAAATAATCCATTTCATGACAGAAACACACTTAAATAAAGAAAACGAGCCAATAGCAACAAAATAACATATTAAATGCATATTCACAAAATTTTGTTAATCAATTACAACACAAACCGACCGGACAAAGATCCCGGCATAGTATACAAATTTCTACAACTGTGACAAGGGTGTGTTATGTGTTACAAAGCTAATTTCTCGCATATTTCAAAGTAGTGATACACTAAGTAAATATTTAAGAACTGAATTGGAAAATAGATCTTGTCACAACAAAATATTCACCATTTAATACACGGCTGTCAGATTATTTTATTAATATACACACCTTAATTTTGTCATGTTTAGAAGTAAAATAAACAGGAATAAACTATAAAAATACTTAGGAAAATTGAAATAAAATGATAGTGCTTCATTGAGAGAAAAAAGAACCATGATCGTAAAATGTTTCCCATAGAAGTGAAAATGATAAAATAATATACGATTTATGATCACCGTAAACATACTATCGTCCCATCTATTAACTGACTGAGAGATTCTAAAACATAAATCAAATATCAATGTGACCTTAATGTACAAGGCAGCCGTAACAATATGGAGCATTGTAGGTATCTTTACCAAGGTTTGACTTGATAATTTCAAAAAAACTGAGTACTGAATATATTGTTATTAACAAAAATAATATATTTGTAGTATCCCAATGGGTAGCAAAATCTAATTTCCTGACGTTTCGTGACTCAGTGTAAATCGCTTCTTCAGAGAATAAGTAAACAAATTAAATCAGTCAAATCTTAAATATTACAAGAAAGCAAACCAAAAATATTTGCCAGTATGGGGTTGTGCAGAGATGGTTGGGTTTTTGATTGAGATCATGAATCGATTAGTGATAGACCGCCATTGAAACTTGGAAGCACTGGACGACCGTTTCGTCACAGTATTCGACATCTTAGAAGTGCCCATTCAAGATCCCATATGCGGGACACGAAACTCAGGACCACTGATCTCCCGAGAGAGCGCTTAACCTCTAGACCACTGAGTTTGCATCCAACGGTGTTAATGTCCACGTTCAATCAATCCATGATATTGTGCGACCAGCTTCCATTGTCTTCCGTGAGTAACTGCCTGACACCCGATACGGAAAGCTGCAATGGACACGACTTCTTATTAGAACTCCGAGAATTACCTCTCGAAGCTAGTCACAAGGTAATGGTAATTACCATATAAACCAAGACAGTGTCATGTCACTTCGAACAAGCCGATTTATCAGACATGCTTGCGTATTGCTGTGTGATAATGGGTGAAACATGTAACATTTGTGGTGTGAAATGATACAGTTCAATTTGTATATATGATAATAGTGTGAGATGTGAATAGAATATGACATGATAGCTCGGATAGATAGTGAAGTTTTCTTCGCCATCTGGGTATTTAAGATTTAGCAATACATGAAAAGCTTCAGCTTCTGGCGTTCCTTGTAGTTGAAAAAGCCTTATTGTGTTATTTTGATATTTTTAATAGTGACTTGATGGTTATTGAAAACAGCATGCACTGTTACTGCCGATCTAAGTTGGAGTCTTTCAAGTTCTACAGGATTATTATCTCGTTTCTTTGTGTACCTAAGATATACAGACCGAATCAACTGAAGGGGATCTGTTACTTTACATAGACTTCCTTGATTATGAAAAAGCATTTGACAGAGTACTTAGGAAAACCTTCTGGAACCTTCTTCGACATTATGGAGCTTCTTAGAAGATCGTCAACACCATAAGAAAAGTAAACGGAATACACTGCAAAGTAGTGCATGGAGGACAGCTGATATAGACATTCCAAGTGTAGCCGCAGCCTCTACATCAATGGGTCTCAACATGCACAAGAGAAAAAGAAACATCCTCAAATACAACACTGATAACACCAACCCAATCACACTTGATGGAGAAACTTTGGAAGAGGTGGAAACTTTCACGTACATGGACAGTAGCATCATTGATGAACAAGGAGGATCGGGTGCAGCGATGTGAGGGTAAGGATTGGCAAAGCAAGGATGGAATTCCTACAGTTGAAGAACATATGGAACTCAAAACGACTGTCAACCAATTTTAAAGTCAGAATTTTCAATACGAACGTCAAGATAGTCATACTATATGCAGCTGAAACTTAGAGAACTACCACAACCATCATCAAAATAGTACAAGTAGTTCTAGACAATTGACTGCGCAAGATATATATATATATATATATATAATTTAGATAATAATTTCTTGTAGATAGATGAACAATAAATAAAAATGGTGAAAATTAGAAAGATTATAACACTAGATGACATAGCGTAAATGATAAAAAATATTGCGTACAAATAAAAACTTAAGTCAAATCAAAAAGTTAACAATGGCTTATAATGTTAATAGAGGAAGATGTTTTTGTCATAATAATTAAATTTTTTAGTGGGATTGGATAAAATGAAGTAACATCAGAAACAATCATAAGATTATGGGGATATAACAAGTCATTAAAGAGGGAAATTTTCAAATGAGGAATCAATGAAATGAAAATAAAAATGATTATATTTAAAGACAACGGTAAAAAACGACGATAAGACGAAAATCTTTTGTACACACAGTTTAGACTTCATGTCATGGATGACAAGTACATCTGCAGTTTTAAGGAGTTGAACACAAAATCTTGGTAGATTTGAATACATTTTATAGACAACCTTAAAATCAACCAGTGAATCAGTGGAGTGATTCGAATTGACTAGACGTTCGGGGATAGAATTCGTTAGTGCTTTTCACTCATCTTTTAGAGAATCCCATTGGAATATGTCTTCATTTCCGAGTTGAAATCAAGAACTAGCTATGGTCTATGTGCCTAGTTCCACAAAAGTAGGTGAACCGATAGATGCTAACAGAGGTGAATAAATGACAGAGATTATCTTTCATGGATACGAAAAGTAAATTTCTGCTAGTGAATGTTAGTCACAGCATTGCCACGCAAAGCTTTCTGTTATTATCTGTTGACAGCGGATTTTCAGGAACATCAAAAATCTGTTCACTTTTAAAATACAGATGGACATAAAGTTATTTTTTAAAAAATAAAATCCGTGAATTCTTTGTTCCGACTATTTCTCATATTTTTCTTTAAGAACCGGCTTGGATAGCAATTTTCAGCTAACGTTGTTCTGCAGAACCCTAGTCCTTCCTCAACACACTCCGTACTACGAGTCTTACGTATTCGGTGAAATTAGAGTTCATCTTCTTGCTTATTGATAACACATGACATACATTTGCACATACATAGTCTTTTTTTATCATTATTTACAATACATATTGATAAGTCTTACTAATTCGAACGCTTTATTCGGTTCCTAAGCTATTCTGGTAACCCGCAAGCTAGAACTACGCAGCGACCTGAACACGAGAGAAAAGGCGCAAATTAAGCGAAAAGCACTTTACTCCGAAGGTTCATTCTTGTACAGAAAAACACGGGTATTTATAGATTATTAGCATTTGTCAAATCAACATTATATTTTGGCCAATCCGCTAACAGACATATTGTGCTACTGACCAATAGTAGCATACCACGTTAATATTCTAGAAAGCTCCCTCATGCTCTGATTGACTGAAACTCTTTAGATACGCATGTACCATTTCTTTGTTCCGAAAAAATGTGAGATATACAACTGGCGCATTTCAAGTATAATTGAACGTAGTAATCTGATTAGATTATTCTTTGGCTTTTAAATACGAAGATTTAACTTCATACCATGGATACACCATGATTATTGTTTTAAACAAGTCTTTAACCAATGACAATGAATCGCTATCTAGAATACTACACTAATAGTATATAAGAGAAAGAACAAACTATAATCGAATTCACTTGGCCATGTTGTCTATTTTAATTTCTTCTACATTATGTAAACGACCTAACAAAAGTTTCCAAATTATCTGTTCTGTTGTTTGCGGATAACTTAAAAGTATGGAGATTCAAACACTGTACAGTCAATAAGACAAGATTATACGAATATTTAAATGCTCCAGTTGAATGAACAAAACAGTGGTCATATGATGAGAAAGATACGGTTTATCGGTTCATGTTTATATTTTGAGTTGTAATATAATAATATAAACAATGGATTCTGTGAACACAAATACTATTATTTTTGGTGGTAGTAGTAGTAGTAATAATAATAGTGTGCGCTACTTATATGGACGGATACAAGTAGTATATGGCAGGAATTGGAAGTGGGATGCTTATTAGCAGAAAAGTGAAATAAATGGAAGAGTAAGGAAAACAGAGAGCGATCGGAATAATAACAGAATCAGGAGGATGATGAGGTAAAAGAAAACACAAGGAAAATGTGCAAGTGATGTATTCATATTTTACAGGGGCATTGTGTGATTTTGCATAAAATAATAAATTGGATTACTGTACCTGAGCTTTCGTTCACTATAGTAAAAGTAGTAGTAATTAATAGATAATCAACTCAACAGACATGAGTTTCGAAAACCAAGATACATTAAAAATCGAATCTCATATTTACAAATTACTCTGTTTACCTACCTCATTAATACGATCACATTCACAATCATTGTCATTATCGTCATCACTATTGGAGATATTAATGGTTTTTTGTTCCCCTTGATTAGTTTGTTCTCTACTGCCGTTAGTCAACGATGAATTAGGTTTTTGGTGTTTATCACTACTGCCACTATTATCGTTATTATTATTCAAAGGTAATGTTTTCCAACTATTACATATTTTCAATTTTCTTGGCCAGATGTATGCTTCGGTTAAGCATAATCCAGTCACCATAAAATATAATATTATACATATGATAATAATGGTGTATAATATCCATCCTCTTGAACTAATGAAATGAAGAGGAAAATTGAAAAGAATCAAATGAATGCTAGATAATTAAAACATTGATTTAATTTTAGAGTGAGAAAGAATGCAATAATGACTTAATTGCTAAATTATTTAGCTGTATAGAAATTCCGTGATACTATATATTAATTAATGTTGAGTTTTTGCAGAAACATATAAATTTTTTGTCAGACACTACGTACCAAAAATAGATTACGCTAGTTACTTTTGGAAATAATCTATGACTTTCTGATAGCCAGCATGTTCTCATTGGATTATCCAAATTTATCACTTACCGGTTTACATAATCTATTGATTGACAAAGAATTTTGCAAACTTCACCTCTCCGTCTACTATAACACGTCTTTATTGTTGTTAGTATCAAATAAATTCAATATTAACTAAACATTTACGTAAATAATGATAAGTGGAGATTTGCAGTGTTGTGTGTACACTTTTTATGGCAGGGATTTATCTGAACACCGTCTGTGCCAAAAATATTATTATTACCGAAATTTCAAGGATTTCGGATGTAAATCTTAAGGCCGACTTCACTTTAGGTTCAATCTTGATAAACGGTTGAAAATAGATTGATCTGATTTACGTAGCATGAACTGACGTTGAAAAAGTCAACAGTAAGTGTTATTAAACGTTTTTACCAATTAATGTGTATCAAAAGTTATGGTATTTTGAAGTGGATTATCATCCCTGATTTCTTTAGATGATTGTCTTGTGATATTATTATTTGACGATTTCGGTTCTTAAGAGGGGAGGAATTTATTGTTGACAAATACAACAAAACAAACATCGCATGAATCCGACAACCGTTCGTGGAAAAAACCATTGGATACACGAGCAATATAATTAGTATGAAATAGTAGTAAACTGATAAATCATTGTTAGATCGTTCATTCAAACCTTGGCTTAGACTGAATCTATATGACTGTAAATTAAAGGAAATCAGGGTTCATACATTATGTTCAGTCGCCATTCATCCTTAGTTAGAAGTATTATGTAGTGTGACCACATGTGAAACACAAACTGAATGTTACTCAACAAATAGAGATTAGTATTTAAGATGAACGTCTCATGTAGGCGCTGATAATGTCCTGAACGACCATCAAAACATCGCTATTAGGCCATGTAGCATAGAGAACTCAAAAAAAAAACAAGAACGACATAATAAATGGGTGTTTTTGTACTGGTAATTTTAGGCGTAAACTGTTGTGTACTGCTTCCAGTGATTCTTAAGAAAACCAGCTTGTATAGACAAAAAACTGGCATTAAACAAGCGCTCATTCGATAAAAAGCAAAAAATGTTTTTTGAATTATTTCGGCAGTCATTTGGAGTTCAATGTACTGCCACTAATTCGTTTCGAAATATTATTAAAAGAAAAAGAGAGACTAACTGCGATTTAGTAATCTAGAGAATTTGATTCTGATACAATGTCACTAATCGACAAAGCTAACGAGGATTGTTATTCTCATGGTAAAGTACCATAAGGATAAATCCAAGCTACACATAATCATTAGTAGTTATATAATACTGAGAAATTGAATCATGTTATTTAGTTAAATTCTAATGCTAATATATAAACCAGGAGTGTCACACCAATAATACAAAGCTTGACTAAAACATAAAATGTGTTTGATGAGTATTAAAAAGATGTGATGAGATACAGTAAAAAGTTTTAAATGCTTGTTTTTGTTCAGCGTGTAGCCACTATTAATTAAATGACATACAATTAAGTTAGATGTTGGGTTACTGTGACCCTTTTTGGAAACCATATTGATTAAAGTTAGACATTAACACTGTGGGATATCATTTAAGCGGTCTAGCGGTTAAGCCTTTGTACAAGAGACTAAAATGGATTGTTTCCGACTTCTGCATGTGCGATGGTGAATCCGAACTGCCGGGTCCCATACTAGAAAAAAAAACGTTTTAAAAACTTTATGAAATCAAACATCGAATATATTTTGTCAAAATTTCTATAATCTGTCAAAATTAATTATTTTATCTCTAATCTAGTTCGTTTGTATAACACGGTTTGTATTATTTCTTAGCCTCTGAATACATTCACAATGTTGTTAAGACAGTGAAATCTAAGTAAAGTACTCGAATCGGTAATAACTATCAAAAAAAAAATATAATTTGAAAACTGTCACGTTAATCAACTAGCAATTATGAAATAGTTCACGAAAATAAGCTAATCAATTCTCATCATTCTATTTCTTTTGCCCTCTGTTCATTTTTTTTTCTTCTTATCTAATACACATGTACTGAAATGGGGCTTATTTATATATAGATCATTTTAAAGTGTTACACAGCTTTTTTTAATTATGTGTGTTACTGTCATCATTACTTGGATGATTACTAATATAACAATTACTGAAATGTTATTATCATTATTATTACTATTATGAACAGGTCCATAATCAATATTTTACGTTCATTAACCTATAAGTAATCTCTTGTTTAATACTTTATATTTACAGTTATATACATTAAATTAAAATTTGAGTAGAATTAAGGTGAAAAGCAATATTCTACGTTTCTAATACTAACTTGTTTTGACTTATACATAGTAAAGAAAAAACTATCTATGATTTGAGTTCACAGAAATTTAATAAAAAAGTATTTAAAGAATGAAAATCAATCAAAAGTGATCAATGAGAAAACAGGGCGGAAATTGTAAGAGTTTATAGATTGGTAACACGTGGCACATAGGAAGGTTTCACAGTGTAAAAACTTAAAACATAATAATAAATAGGCATGAAATTCAGAATAGATTTTTCAATATATTAACTACTACACAAATAAAATGATCAGGTTCGTAGAGCTGTAGTTACAGTTTAGTGGAGCAATGGGTTAGTGAATAATGCGTTGACACAAACCAGTCCTGAAATAACAATTTGTATGTAAAGGGGGAGAAGCGCATTTCAAGCAATCTGACATTGTTGCTCAGTGCTACCAAAAGATTCTGCATTCTACCAGTTTCTGCTGACAGTAGTTTGTGATGGAAATCGCTTTCGAGATTATATTATACTGAAATAGACAGTTAAAACACTTATTTAAATGTTACTCTAAGTACCATGATATGCGATCACGTCACATATGACTGACTGATCGTAACAGATATATATACCAACACTTACTAACAGTTTGGTATTGTGACTAGATGTGAATACATTATATAACTAAAACAAATATTCATTTGTACCACGATATTAACTGACAACATTATGTATAATCTTACTGCAACTAAGATCAAAGCAGTAACGAAGTTCGCTTTAAAAAACAACGTCGCATGAACAAAAAAATTGAATATTCATATAAGAATCGTTCCAAATTTCGCCATTCACATACAACCACACTTTCTAATGAACAAACTAGAGCCCAAATAATCAGTACAGGTTACTTACACATCTGTTATTCCAAGATTAGCTATTGTGATCCGTCGAAATTCATTCTCTGTAAAAAAAAATTTTAAAAATTGATGCAAACTTATATCAAGCGTAAATATGCATGTATGTAATTGATAAATATAAAAACCTCATAGTTGTTTTTCCGAAAACAGTTTCGAATTTATAAACCTTTATTCAATCCACCGATAACAGTAATAACAAGAAAAGTGGCATTAAAAAGCTTAAATAGTATTATATTTGTGTCAGAAACCATAACATAAGTCGACTAAACTGAGTCTAGCAATCAAACACATCGGCTACATATATATATATATATATATATATATATAGCAAGCATTGTATAGAATAACTCCGCCTGGAGCCCCTCTGGGGTTACTGCCGGTCCCAAGCCCGTATAAAGGAGGAGGGTCCAGCATGGTGTTAGCGACCCCATCATGTAGAAAACTAACTAGAAAATGCTAACCAGAAAAAAATGATATAGAATAGAAGTGCTTAGACTTTTGGTTTGTACGAAACATTTGCCATCTAAGAAATGATTGATTTACCTGATTCTTGAGAGAAAAAAAACAATGGAGTGCAAATAACGAAGATTGGAGTGAGTGCAAATAACTGGAAAACACGAAAACGCATGGCCAATATATACGCGACGCCATCAAGACCTGCTCTTTTTGCAAACTCAGAAGACCTAAACATTTGTGCAGATAAAATACACATACGATGAGTGATGACAACACGGGTGTAAGCAAGTCAAGTCAGATGGATTAATAATAATTATGACCACTATCTGTAGTTCATTAACACGCTTCACAATAGATTGAGATATTAATATTAAGCATGAGATGAAACTAGTCGAGTGTTGTTTACGAAATTGAAAGGATGAAAAGTGAATGACCGGAGCTTTAACCGGGTTTGTGGACACGGAGGCGAGTTGAAAAACCCTGAATCCAAATCAATGGTGGACATGGGCTCGAGGATCCTGAGGGAACAAATGGTGTACGAACCAATGGTTGGCCTCCAGCTACTATGGGACTGCAAGTCCTTACGTTGCTTAACTGTCTTGTGAATTAGACCTCTAGGTCGAGGGCTCGGGCGGTGGCCCCCTAGGAAAAACACCTAAATGTAATACTTTTTTCTGGCTCCTTCGACACTACGGCGTGTACGAGAAAATAGTCAACATCATACGGAATTCCTATGATGGATTAAACTGAGAAATCGTGCATGGAGGACAGCTCACAGACTCGTTCGATGTAAACACCGGTGTCAGGCAAGGTTGCCAACTATCCTCCTTTCTCTTTCCTCGGGCGATTGACTGGACTATGAAGAACTCCATATTTGAGCGGAAGCACGGAATAAAATGGACAGGTTCGAACTATGAAGTCCAACCTTGGTATTGATACCTTCGAACCATTACATGATTTATTCAATAAAACTCCATCAAAAATATATCAAATGTACGTTATTAATATAAAAAAAGAGCCTATGATCTGAGTGATCGTGTTATGTATTCGTTTGACTACACTGCAGTATTTTCCACCCGCTCCAGTGAATAATTCCTGTCGGATACATACAGACACTGAAATAATTCTGTCACACCAGAGTTTGTACATAAAAGTATACCAAAAAGAATGTTCACTTATAAACGTCTGTTTAAATAAGCCTTTCATCGAATTATTTTCAAACACTTGACCAACTTTAATAGTATAATGGTTTTCTTCAAACAAACAAAAACTACAATACATAATTAATCGATTCACTACAATACAGTATATTATTATTTCGAAACGTAACCATTTTCTTTAAGTTATAGTTAATTCAATCACTAAAACAAACATCCATGTAGAAATTGATTAGTTAGTCTATAGTACAATGTAACATGAGAAAAAAAAACAATAACAAACACATAGTGATATTCTCACTTCATTGTACACAAAAGATGTATAGACCAGCAACATGCATTTCCATATTGAATAAATCATTAAATTACATAAATTATTTTTATTAACAACAAGCGATGAAATGTCTTCAAGTATTCTATATATATATATATATATATATATATATATTTTTTTTTTAAATAACCACAAAGTTCATCTTTAAGACACAGAAAATGGGTTCGCATCTTTGCATACATTTACTACAATACTGATTTTAAAAATAAATAGAAATTTTGTTCTGGTTTGTGAAATTATGTAGAGATATTCAAGCATAGGATTCAATAATTCATGCAAAACTGTCTTATATATATATATATATATATATATATATATATATATATATATATATATATATATATATATATATATATCAGAAGGCCCAGAACAGATCGGATTGGGGAATACTGGTCGGCGGCCTATGCTCCATTAGGAGTAATATGTGTAAGTAAGTAATATCAGAAGGACCGTATCAGATCTTTAGCGTTTTCCAAAGTTTCAGTTTTTGTTATTATCGATTTTATGGATACAAATTAGGGAAAGAAAACGAGTGAGGGAGATTTGGGATCTGATCAGTGGTATGGTTGTGGATGCACGTTGATTAGAAGTTCCATAATAGGAAGAAACAAATGTTCAATACCTCCTAGTTTTTTATGGTTGTTTAACTAAAGTCCATTCGTGATGTAAACTACAAACAAAATCGTAATCTTTCTTCTAAAACATATCAAGTGTCTGTTGTGCTCGTTACCAGTATATTATTCATGAATAAATATAGATACGTAAAAGCGAATTTAGGTCAAGAGTGATGCTAAGTGATATAGGTTAAAAAGTTTTGAAAAAAGTCGGACTTGTAGTGTGACCCACTTAATTTGCTTAATAAGAAGGTAATCAATATAACAAATGGAATCCCACAACAAGCCACTGCTATTTATTTTCAACGACTACTCTTATTAGCGTCATTATTACGATTCTTTAAGTAAAAAAATATATGGAATATTTACACGGTAAGATTTCCTACAGTGTAAATGTATTGTTTGCATTCACGAGTTGATTTTAAATAGTTTAAAATCCTTACATACATGAACTCTAAACCGTTAATACAACAAAGGGATTATGATAACTTTAAAAGTATAATGATGCTGATAAACAATTTTACGGATATTAGGAACTTTTTAGCGACTATAAATACACTAATTCTAAAATTTTCAGGTTAATATATATTCTAATTCTACGAGAATATGTTTTCTGACCTTCAGTGATATTTGGTATGAAGCTTATATATAAAATAATACCAGTGAAAGAAATCTGAATAATTCTAGCCTTCCACTCGGTCTATACTAGACACACGTCCAAATACGTTCAAATGTTGATTTCATGTAAATTTGAGACGAAATTGATTAGATGAACTCGTTGGACAGGAGAACAATGCTTACTTCGATTGTTACTTCTAATCAATATCACAGCACACTATCCGATTATTTTCTGTCAGTACGTACTTTCACAGGCTTACATATTCTGTTAGTTAGCTTACAACATACAGCTACAGACACATCCTCATACGTCAGATTGTTTTCATGGTTCAAATTCTTAATGCACATAAAAACAAATTTCGAATATGTTTGAAGAAAAGTCTATCATAAACTTAATGATTTCCTCAAGGAAGCTAGCACCGGATTGGCGAGAAAAAAATTAGAAGTACTTAAAATTCAATCAAAGAAGCTGGTTCAAGTATAATTTCCACGCCTGTATTTTTTTATATAGTTGGTACCTAATTTCTGCCAAACTTCAGTAATATTAATTACATAAGCTAATCTGCAATGTACTATCATTAATCTAGCACGTATTGAATTACAAAACATTTACATAATAGTTGGGAACATTAGTGTTTTTTAGAAAGATTCTCTTCTAAGGGATGAGGTTGCTAACCTAATACGCAACTCTTATGATTCATCGGGCTTCAGACCAGCAACAACCCTAAAATTGATTCAGGTGGAGGCAGATCGAAGAACACATTGTGCAGAAAACTGGAGGCAGACATAAAAAGAATGGATGGAACTTCAGGACAACTGGAAAGAATAGATGAGAACAGAGTAAATTAGAGATCTCTGGTCAGCGACCTATGCCCCACGAGAGTAAACAAGAGTAAGGGGATGTTAAAGCATTGACTTATATTCATAAAATGAATGACGATTAAATGGTAAAATGTTGTTAGTTGTAATGATAACTTGATTTCACGCAAAATAATTACGATAAACCTATCTAATGAAAATGAACCTGCCAACTTCAAACTCATAAGTAAGTTTTAATAACTTAAAAAAAACTCACATTAAACTGATTTTCCAGCATACGTTGTTTCTATACAACTATCAATGAACAAATAGCTGTTGAATTCTTCTATAGTATTTCAACTCGTCTTTTTAAAATTTCAAATAACCAAAAATATTTTTAAAATTTTCTGCGATTTTTGAAATAACCAGAGTTTCTTAAAAAATTTTCATAATCCTTACATGCCAGAGATGAATAGAAAAAAAACTATTTAATTTCAAGTAAAAAGAGATAATGCCACATAAAAAAGTTATTGAAGATGAATACAGTGTCAAAGAAGCCGCATTTCATGTGGATATGAATTATCAGGCCGCTGTAATGTTAAGACGAAGACAGGAAGGTTATCAAATAATAAGATTACAAGGGAAATTGCTGATTTTGTGGAGGAATCAATAGGATTAAATCTACTCCTGACAATCTTACAAATTCAAGAAAAAATAAAAAAATGTATTTTCTATAAATCTATTCCATGAATCTATAAGGATAATTTATAAACTGAAATCACTTTTATCAAGTGTTATATTAGAAGAGATTACTTGTTCACCTATATCTGAGAACGGAACGAAGACTGAGCGACACAATGACCAGCTAACTATTACGATGCGTCCCGCTAACTAGAGAGAGAAGTCCAGGTTCAGAAGAGAGAAAATGTATTCCACAAGCAGCCAGAAAAACGAACAACACCAAGAACAACTTAAGTGTATATATACAGTATTAAAATGTCCTTTGGAAACGTTACAAAATAGCATACTAAAAGAGACAACGAACCAATGACATCTAAGGTCCTGCCAAGTGGGAAATACGATATGAAGGTAAAAATAGGCGCTTTTGGTGTGAGAACAAGAAATTTAAATTTCAAAAATAAAATTACAAAAACTAGGCATTTACCAAGTGAGTTCTGGGGATTTAGCATCCCCAACATCAAGATACAAATGCAAGATTACAAATTTCAACATTAAATAAAAACCATTAAGCGTCCATTAGATTTGAATAATCAAGTTCCAGTGAAAGAAAATAGGGAGGATGATAATCAAATAGTGTCCATCTTACTAACCCGACTCTTGCATGGAGAATAAAACAGACGAATTTTTAGGAAAATGAAATTTTTAGATATCAGCCGAAAAAATTAGAGGATACCACGTTATATGAATTAAAACAGATTAAATGATCCGTTTCCCTATAGAATTTTATTCATTTTATCTAATCTTCATGTGACAATTGCGAAAATTTGCGGCTCAAAAAAGAATTTAGAGGCGATTTCACATAAGTTCAGTGAATTAATCATGAAGCCTTTATGGTATTTCTGGGAATAAGTGAAAAAAAACGTTTTTATTATCTGCGTGAATGATTTCTAGAAAGACAATCAAAACCAACCACAAGATGGAAGATAACATTACAAAAGTATTTCCTAAAAAAGCAATTGGAAATC